CTCCCACCGGGGTTCCCTGCAGGCCAGGCCAGCCAGAACTTCCTGCAGGGCCAGGTGCCCTCCAGCGCTCCAGGAACACCGGGGAGCAGCGGGGCACCGCAGCTGCAAACCACCCAGAGCGTGCAGCACACAGGTCTGTGTTTCCTTCTTTTGTAGAAAATGATGCCTTTACCTGTGTCAGACAGATCCCAGAGCTTACCCAGGGCTACAGGGGCGTTCTGTGTGTTGCCATATGAGGAACAGGGAAGCAGGAAGCTGCTCATGTTTTTCACACAACTCAACTGTTATTGGTTAGGACCAAGAAGTAGCTGTTAAAAAATGGAACAGAATCAGCACTGAAACATGAAGGCTGGGGATGGTAAAGATACAACACAAAAGGAGCTTCGTGTCCAGAAAAAAATAATAAAGTGTTATTATCTTAGAAGCCGAACAGCAAAGTTCTCTTGTCTGCTTTGAAAAGATTATTTGTGACTTGTTTTGGAAGCTTTGGAAGTCTACTTGTAGACAGCCCTGTGAAAGTTAAATCTTTAGTTCACAAATGTCTCAATTTAAAAATCTGAATATTGGTCTTTTGTCTGGATTACGGGTACCCTGATAACGTAATTTCATCAGTACCCCTTTTGTATTTATCTTATAACCCATATCAAATAACCTCAAGGTTCGAGGCTGAGTTTTGTTAGGAATTATTCTTGAGTTAGGTGATATTATGGAAGAGTTTCAAACTTCTGTACAGATAACAGCTGACATTGAATTCCTGTTATGTCTTCGGCAGGGTGGTACACGGGAAGTACCAGTCTGAGGGTTTGTTTTCAGACGTGGGGTGTTCTGTACATGTGTCTGTAGCATCAAACATTGTATCACAGGACTGTAACTATGTCAGATATTGCAGTTCATTGGAAAAGAGTGTAAAACAATTTTGGAGTACTTGCTCAACGTCAGAAGTTGTGAAAACTCTTATACTCCAAGCCTTATTGGCTTTTTCTTCTTTTGTTAAGGTGGCCAAGGATCTGGACCTCCTCAAAATCAGATGCAAGCTCCACCAAATATGATGCAGACCAATCTAATGGGACTTCATGGAAACATGAACAGCCAGCAGGCTGGTGCTGGTGGAGTGCCACAGGTCAACATGGGCAGCATACAGGGACAGCCTCAGCAAGGATCACAGTCGCAGCTCATGGGGATGCATCAGCAAATCGTGTCCTCTCAAGGACAGATGGTAAACATTCAGGCTCAGGGATCGCTGAACCCTCAGAACCAGATGATACTTTCCCGAACTCAGCTCATGCCGCAAGGCCAAATGATGGTGACGCCACAAAACCAGAACCTTGGTCCTTCTCCCCAAAGGATGACCCCACCCAAACAGATGATTCCCCAGCAGGGACAGCAGATGATGTCTACACACAATCAGATGATGGGACCTCAGGGCCAGGTCTTGTTACAGCAAAACTCGATGATGGAGCAGATGATGACCACTCAGATGCAAGGAAATAAACAGCCTTTTAGTGCTCAAAACCAGTCCAATGTTATGACGGGGCCAGCTCAACTGATGAGAGGACCAACCCCAAACATGCAAGGAACCATGGTGCAGTTCACTGGGCAGATGATGGCACAGCAAGGCCCTGTGAATGGTAATCCTTCTCAGGTTATGGGGATTCAAGGGCAAGTTTTAAGACCCACTGGACCTGGTCCTCACATATCTCAGCAGCTTGGGGATGCTACTGCTACAACAAATAATGACGTGAACTTGACGCAGATGTTACCTGATGTTCCTGTGCAGCAGCCAAACATGGTTCCTTCTCATATGCAAGCAATGCAAGGAAACAACAGTGCTTCAGGGAGTCATTTCTCTGGCCATGGGCTGCCTTTCAATGCGGGGTTTAGTGGAACGCCAAACGGGAATCAGATTCCCTGTGGGCAGAACCCTGTTTTCCCTGTCAATAAAGATGTTACGCTCACAAGTCCACTCTTGGTTAACCTCCTACAAAGCGACATATCAGCAGGACACTTTGGTGTGAACAACAAACAAAATAATCAGAATGCCAACAAGCCAAAGAAGAAGAAGCCTCCAAGAAAGAAGAAAAATAATCAACAACTAGAGCAAACAACGTAGGTTAAACATTACATTGTTTTTATAAGGGGCATGGGGAAGCTCCACAGGCAGCTTGTCAATTATTTTTGTTTCAGCAAGCGTGGGGGTAAGAAAGGAGCTGTATTATTGCATATTCTGACCATTTCTCTCAAGAGTTAAATGATAACCCGCTGGCAAGTCTGCCACTGGAAAGGTTGTTCAAGATTAAAAACAAAAATCAACCAACCAAAAGCGAAACGTGCGCATGTCGCAGCTTGGTTATAAACCAGATTATAATGGTGCCATTCCTTACGTTCACCGGGTAAAGGAGGCATGGAGTGTGGCATGTGGTGCCACAGCCCTTGGAAGGGGAGGCTGTGTTTTTTAAGCAGTCTGACAGCCCTGGTGAAAGGCTGGGAAGTACTTTCAGAAGAATGAGAAGCCTCCATATAACATGTGCAGTAGAGGTTTTTGGGGGTTGCTTCCTGAATGATGTATATGTGTATCCTGATGTGTTTCTGCCTGGAATTGAGCTGAACTCCCTTAGTTGAAGCTGCAGCTAGAATTTAGGGGGAGGAATCTGTTACTTTGTGGGTATGAGGATAACAAGCCCAAGCAGTGCTGGTCTTCCTGGCCTAGGAGAGATTAGGAAGGAAAAACCCACAGCTCTTGAGAGGGAAGAGGCAAATAGATGATCCCAAGATGTAACGAGCGAATGTGGGAATACGAGGTTGCTGAATCTCGCCATTCCTCTGAGGCCAGCGTGTTCTTCCTTGGCCAGTTGTCCTGTAGCCTTTTGCTGTTGACAGTCTGCCCGTCCCAGCACAGGGTGCAGACTGCTGCTGCTGTCCTGGTATTTGGCTGACACGGTTAAGATGGGCTCCATCCGGTTCTCCTAATGCTGCAGATGAGCCATGGGGGCCTTGACAGGAATGCACCTCATGGATCTTCTGGGGATTGGTTCCAGTTTGCTTCAGAGAAAAGAATTTAAAGATGGCACAGAAGATTATAACACAGGAATATCCAAATTTCAAGGTTAAATTCTTAAAAAGGCAGCAATGGCCCATTAGGCTGCTGGTGTGGCTCTGGTTCCACCAGTCCCACTCTTCTGAATAATCCTTGTGAGTCTTTGACCTGCAGTTTGTGCTGCCTTTTCCACAGACACATGGCCGGTTCAGTGCAAAGAGCGGATGGCTGCGGGTACAAAGCGATGGCTTGATTTTATTTTTCTCCTTGGTTGATCAGTGTGTAGCCCCAACCTGCATTTTCTGCACAGTGTCAAGATTCCTTTGTGAAGATGGAATTAATTTTCTCGTGGATGTTTTAGTTCCGGACTGAAATGATTTGTGTCATCGATAGCAAGTGATCTTTGGTGGCAATTGTTAATTGGGTTAACTGAAGGTAAAATAAAGTGCAGGAGCTGTTATGTGCATTTTACAGGTGCAAAAATGCCGTATAGCATTTGCTGTAAAGCAAAGCGTGCTGATTTAATAGGCCTCGAAAAGAGTCTTTCAGGTACCTGCTCTATAATTTGATATGCTCACGGTATGGCCTGGCAGCTGAGCACTGCTGTGAAACTGGCCATGTGGTTTCAGCTGAAGCGTGAAGGAGAACCCAGGCTGTGGCAGCTGAGAAACTTGGCTAAGGGGGCTCAGCTGGAACAAAGGGACCAGCGCGGGGATAGGCTGCAACTTTGGGGTGACTTGGGCACCGTAACTGAGATACCGGTTCATCTCTTGCAGCGCCTGACCCGTTCGACACAGTTTCCCCCAGCATCTTGCGCAGGAAACTGGCTGCTACT